CTGGTTGCTCCAAGATTCTTCATATATATATATATATATATATATATCAACAGGATATGTTTAAAGTAATACTAAATAAAATATAATTAAGTCCAAAAGCTATTACATACAAATGTGAATAAATTTCAACAATTAGTACACAAGAGTAAATCGACAATCGGTGTTTATTAAGTATTTAAATAAAATGATTTCAGATTTTTTTTTTCATTTAAAATCGTTTTTCTATCGCTACTTCTGTTTGCCTACGTCATGCAATTAAAATGTAGGTGGCCAAAACTAAAAACTGAATTTTAATATTCTTACTTAGCTTTTTTATCCAGTCTGATTTTGTAAAGGTTAACTTTTTAACTTTTCAACATACGTGATTTACGTTAGATTTTTTTTTTTGTTGTGTGTGTATATATATATAGACAGCTAAGTGCGTGTTTTGTCCATCTATCTAGGTATGAAGAGCTCGGCTACAATGTCGTTCTTGGATTTCAGTTCATTTTCTGTTACTTCAACCCGGTAGATACAACCACACGCTTTCGTTTCACCTTGTATTACGTTGTAACATTTGTGGAAAACACAGTACTGATGTTTTTATGGCACACTGATGCAGACCAAAGCTTGTGGTATCACGAAGCTGCAATGGCATTCCAGTTCCTCGGTTTTTTCATCGGAATCCTATTTATGGTAAACTTGAGAACACTTCTATTCATTTACAGGGTCAAGTGTTTCTTGGTTTTAATATTAACACCAGGTTAGAGTATCCACAAATGTTCATGTATTTTATGGACAGCTGTTTAAGAAAAAATATGGTCATTATTTCAGTGGGAAAGTCCTTTATGGAGATAATGTATACACGTACTTGGAATGTATGAAATAATAATCTTTAATAAACACCCATTTTCTAATACTCGTGATAATAATAAAGATAATATTATGTCTGCTAGTCTAATTGATTATCTAAACTTCGACATATTTCACCGAATAACGCAGGAGGATCCAGGAGTCCAGACCAGTCAATTACAATGACAGCGTACGCATTAGTAACTCCGCAACATGCTTTAAATTACAGTTGCTTCGTTGAGAACATGCAAGATGGTACGAAGAGAAAGGTGATAAAAAAACATATGTTATCTACTTTAAAAATAATGCCAAGCGTTGTAAAATACTGAATGATATTTTCAGTTAAAATAACATTGACTCGAGTATTTCTATAATAGTATCAGTATAACAATATAACATTAGTAATGCAAGAAAAATACTTTTCTTGACGCTTGGGTATTATTGTTAGGCCTTTATGAATATTATTGATTTACAATGTACAATATTGGTTGTCATTTATGTGTTCACTAACCTTTACTTTATTAAGCCTAAGTACATTGCTGCATTTTTATTGTCTTTTTTAGGCCTAAGCATATCTATTTTTTAAACTGCCTTGGATTTTATCTGTCTGTAAGTATCAGTATTAATTGTTGAGAGCATGTTCAGTGTTCACTTGCCTTTATTGTATTAAACCTAGGTCCATTGCTGCGTTTTTGTTGCCCTTTTTAGGCCTAACCATGTGTATTTTTTTAACTGTTCACTGCCTTTTATTTTGGGGCCTATCCGTGTGTTTTTGCTGCCCCTTTGTCTCCTGATTCTGAGTGGATTCAATTTGTTTGTTATTAGGCGCAAGGATACACGATGGGCCAGCTGTACCTACCATGAGTATTGAAACCCGGTTTTAGAGGTATGAGCACTCAGACTGGTGAACGCGAATTCGGACAATAAATGCTACAAATTAGAAGTAAATAAAGCACCGTAATATGCCGTACATTTAAATAATAATACAACTGTGGTATATTTTTATGCAATCCAAATTTTATAATAAATATTAAAAACCTAATAATACCAAAAACATCTTTAATACGGGCGTTTCGGAATTTCCTTAAATTCCATCATCAGCGGTAATATCTCAAAAAAAAAAAAGTTAGTTGGTAATATCCGAAATACAAAAAACGACATTAGCATTAAGTTAGTTTTCATATTCAATCACGCACACCTTTTCCTTGTCGTGTTTTACGTCATAAAGACCAGGGAGGGTCAGGTGCGTTTAACCTTCTCCTCTCCGTATTCAAACGGACGTTTAGAAGTAACAGATTTAAACGGTGACGTTATAATGGAATGTACGATAAAACGTGCGGCAATCACACGTGTAATAAATAACATTGTTAAGAGAAACCATTATAGAAAAAGGCTTAAATATAAGCATAAACGCTGTATCTTTAAAATGATAATAAATATCAAATGAAAACACTGAGAATCCGGAACTGATTACATTAATGATAACAGGGAGGAGCTGATGTTATTATTTATTGTTTGGTGATCATTGTCAATGGCCCCCCAGTGGCACAGCGGTATGTCTACGAACTTACAACGCTAGAAACCGGGTTTCGATACCCGTGGTGGGCAGAGCACAGATAGTCCATTGTGTAGCTTTGTGCTTAACTTCAAACAAACAAACAAAAGAATCATTGTCAATGGAGAGGCTTTCTTTAATAAAAAGTTCGTAATCTGTGGTTTCGAGTCGAGAATTTTAACTTTTCCAAGAAGTATGAGGTGGTTGTTATTCTCACTGTATAATCGGATACAAGACTCGGGTGGATTAGTTAACTTAATTAGCTTCTTGCTGAAATTCCCATGTTCTCGAGTGCAGGTATTTGTTGGTGGTGTAGTTTTATCAATATAAGTAGCTTCTTTTTTTTTTTAATGGGGGCGCCATCAGCAGATGATATGCCCCCAATTTTCACTCATAAACACCTTAATCATATAAATAGCTTTACAGCTACGTGTGCTTATATACGACCCACGTGCGCATACGAATAAGTAGTGTCTTTGGTTTTAAACATATTTTTAATTCTAAATAGTGATGTAAATACTAAACTTAGCTTAATTTGTGGGTAACATGTTTTGATTATTTTTTAAATTTGATATTTGAGTTTAAAACTTTGCCAATGAAAGGAATGATAAGAACTAGTTGATATTTTGAGATAGTGTATGACTTTTTGGTAGGTTCTATTTTATTTGTTAAAATATTCATGTGATTTGTTTGTTTGTTTTTAATTATGCACAAAGCTACACAAGAGCTATCTGTGCTCTGCCCACCACGGGTATCGAAACCCAGTTTCTAGCGTTGTAACTCCGCAGACATATCGCTGTGCCACTGGGGGGCATTCATGTGATAGAGTGTAAGAAATTAAGGGGATAACCATTACTTTGTAATATGTTATGAGTTTTTGAAATTTCTGAGTGAAAACAGAAGTAGTCAGAACAGATATTACAGGCTCTGTTTATAAGATTTCTTAGAACAAGGTTATGTTTGAAGGAGTCTGGTATGAAACTGTCGAAACGAGCGTATAAGCCAATAAATGTTTTCTTACGGTAAATAAACGTGACAAAGAAATTGTTTATTTTCTTTGCTTGTCTAAAAAACTAAGTTATTGTTTTCTTCCATCTTGCATGGCAAGTTTATCCATGGATGTTGTGAGTTTAGGTATTCTAAAAACTTCTTGGTGTGATCAGTGTTGTGAAAGAGTAAAGTATCATCAACGTACCTTTTATATAATACTGGTTTGTAATAAAGGGGGCAGTTATCCAACCATTTACGTTCGTTAAAACATAGAAAAATATTTGCAAGGTTTGGACCCAGAGATGATCCCATTGCTACTCCGTCTATCTGATCATAAAGGTGACTATTAAAAACGAAATGATTGTCCTTGAGGGCCAATTTTTAGAAGCTGATCGAATTTTTGTTGGTTAGAGTGCAGAGCATTTTTGGTAGGGAATAACTGTTGACTAATTATAATAACTGTTTATTGATTATAATAACTGTTTCCTCAAGTGTGATGTTAGTGAATAAGGATTGAATATCAAAGCATATCAGAGATGAATTTACAATTTTTCAAATATCTTAATGTCCGTTGAAGCTCTTCCTCACGCTTGAAAGTAGGCTTAAGCCAATCATTGTCGAGCGGTTTAAACTTTGTTCTGTCATTTAAAATGTTTTCCATTTTGGAGACATAATCAGATTTGTTTAAAATTGCGACACCTGTATCTTTATCTGGGTGGATAACAACGTTTCGGTTACTTGCAAGTTCTTCTAAGGCAGAAAACTCAACCTGTGTAATAGAAGAAAGGTTTTTTAAGGGGTTGAAGTTGTAAATGAACTTGATAGTAACCGAAACTTTGTTGTTTGATCCTCCCAGATAAAGGTACAGTGTTAAAAACCAGTTGGCCTGAAATTTGTTATAAAAACAACGTAAACTGCAGATATTTCCCCACGTTTTTCCTTTTACATCCTGAATTCAAAATAAGACAAAAGTTTCTCTGAAACGCCATATAGTTTACAGTTAAACTCCGAAAGCTGGCGAAATATTGAAAACCAATATTAACAAATTTATAATAAAAAGCATGTAAACTACAGATTTTTTTCCTCACATTCTTCTCAACTCTTCCATTTCGGATTCCAAATCGGAGGCGTGTAAATATGTTTACTGGCATCTGATTTTGAATGTGCAATGGAAGAGTTAAGAAGAATGTGGAAATAAAACAACAAGAACGAAAAATAGTTCAATTTTAGAGAAGAAAAGATGGAATCCGTTAATGACGCAGAGATCAGTTGTTTAGGGACGTCTTAAATTGTTTGTTTGTTTTTGAACACTACAACTCCATTAGAGCCCCCCCCCCCAGTGGCACAGCGGTATGTCTGGGGAATTACAATGCTAAAAACCGGGTTTCGATACCCGTTGTGGTCAGAGCACAGATAACCCATTATGTAGCTTTGTGCTTAACTTCAAACAAACTCCATTAGTTATATCCATGTACATATTGAGCAAGTATACACAAGAACAAGTATTTATTACATCAGCAGTAACAAGACTTAAGTGACCAGAGAGAGAGGAATGGAGATTTTGTGTGGCCTAGTAGTTAGTGTGTTCGGACTGTGAATCCAAAGATACATGGTTTGCGGTCCGTTGCCGCAAAAAAATGTGCTCCGTAATTTTGGGTCGTGGGTGTACAACATGAGTGACAGTCATACAATAGTAGCCAAAGAGTTGGCGGTGGGTGCTGTTAGCTAGCTGCCTTTGCTTTTCTCTATCAGTTCAAAATTGGAGAGAGCTTTGCGCAAGTAGTCCTTTGTACAGCTTTACGTAAAGATTCTGAAACGAACAATTAACTCCAACTTTTTATGACATGAAATTCCTTAGTATTTTCTCATATTATGTAAAGTATTTTCTCATCAAAAGCCCTAGAAATTGCAAGTAATAATCTCAATTTCGTGTATATAATGTCTGCATGTTGTTAAACGATTTTCTGTTTTGTTTTCGATAATTTATGGTATATGTCTTATTTTTATTTTTCTATCCCTATCAGTCCCCCGGTGGGACAGCGGTAAGTCTATGGACTTACAACGTTAAAATTCGAGGTTCAGTTTTTCGCGCTAGACATATCAGATAGCCTAATGTGGCTTTGCTCTAAAACAAATAAACAAACTATCGTTATCAAGTTTAACTGGAATAAATATGCGTTCAAGCCACACCCTTCCATGGGACATTATTTGCTCGTTATATGTTTAAATAGGTCGTTAATTAAAACCGTTTAAATAGCCCTGTGTTTACCATTTTATCTGTTTACTGAAGATTTTGTCGGTTTGTACTGGTATATTTTGTTGTCGTATTGCATTGTTTTTCGCTAAAGTTTTGCATGCAAACTTAAGAATCTCATGAAGATGTATTTCACTGTCAGTACCACGAGTTTTTACGTCAAACCCATGAAATCAGAAAACTTTTGTGAAACGTATGAAAGCAGAAAGCTCTAAGAACTATGATAAAGAAAAAACTAAACTTATTGAGTTCGAGGTTGTGGCCAATGAAAATTTACAATTCAAAACTAGTCTATATATACATTTTTCTGTCAACCAAGAGCGCTGGGGTCATCCCCTGGACACACCAAAAACACAACCACGAAAATACGTAGAGTAAAAACCAGAGTAGAAGTTACTTATATTTAGTACGTATCTTTTGTGAATTTTTAAAGCTCGAGATTAATAATTTCAATTTCATTGTTTTTTTGTCATAGAGTCTTCAAAACATTTTCTGCTCTCATACTTTTTTATAGAACGTTCTCTAATTTCATACATTTGACAAATTCATCTCAATTTAATGTCTATATTTTAAAGAAAAACTAAAAAAATAAAGAATTCAACGTTTACTGATACTGCAGTAAAATAAAATAGAAAAAAACACACACACGAGAAAACGTTCAATCAGGAACGATAATGAAGCTACAGTTACTTCAAAAGTTTTTGACTAACGAACTGTTTAAATTTACATCGTACCAAACACATCTGATGGAAGGGTATAATTTGAATGCTGACTTCTTCCCGTGAAACTTTATGATGATAAAAAAATAATGTTAAGACATACCGTAAAACATCGAAGACGAAATAGAAAATTTTTAACACCATGCAAAACTTGTATATGCACGTGAAATACGAAGAGTGAAGGTACTTACATAATGAATTTATTGCTAACAAATTCTGGCAGCTGCGATGGGTTTAGAGTTTTGAAAAATTAGGATAAATATTATACAATTTCTAAACATTTGTTTCTTTCAGACTTTTTGCGCAGAGATTCACAAAGGGTTATCTGCGCATATCTATCCCTAATTTTTAACTGAAAGACCAACTCTTGGATTACCCTTGTCTGATAAACACTCTTATATCGCGCTCACGGCCCTTAAGTGCGGAGGGCGTTTTAGTGGCAACTGGAAACGAATTATGGACCCTCTGATTCATAGTCCGATCACGTTAACTACAAATATTTACAAACTTAATTACAAACAAACGCACCCCAGTGGCCAAAAAATCCAATACTTGGAGTCACTCAATGAAGATATTCCTCGTCTTAATTGTTGTTTTTACCTTCTATGCTAGATTCCGAATCCTCATATGAACAATTGTGAACAATCTTTTATTCTGCAAAGATGTTTTCAAATAATATTTGCTACTTTTATCAACTACGTTAATAGAGAAATCGGCAAGCTGACACGACTTGATGTTAGAGAATTCGACACGCAACCTGCTGATCGAGAATTCGAATCAGTTCATCGAATGTGCTTACCCTTTCAGTCGTGGAGGCGTTGTAATGTGACGGTCGATTTCACTTTTTTTGTTAGCAAAAGAGTAGCCCAAGTAGTTAAGAAAATCCCAACAAAAGATAAACCACGTGTGTAAAGCAACAGCCAAAGATGACAAACGAGCCAACGTGGAGGTATAAGGGAGAGACTGTCCTTAGAAAAACACTTCGACACTCGGCCGGAGCCGAGTATTACCGGGAGGTCCAATACCCGGCCAGTGCCGAATATCTGGCCGAGTACCCTTGCATCCCGACACAATACCAATCATATTTCTGTATGAATGATACTGAATATCACAAACATAACAAAATATAGCAACATCTACTGTTCGTACAGTAGACTCAAACATTGACTTCGTTCCGTTCCTATTTATCAAACTCTCCAGCTTACAAGAAATTTCTCTTGCAGAGCCAAGTCAAAGAGTGAAGACTTCGTTCCGTTCCTATTTATCAAATACTCCAGCTTACAAGAAATTTCTCTTAAAGCAGAGTTCCTTTTATCAAACACTCCAGCTTACAAGAAATTTCTCTCGCAGAGCCAAGTCAAAGAGTGAAGACTTCGTTCCGTTCCTATTTATCAAACACTCCAGCTTACAAGAAATTTCTCTCAGAGCAGAAGCCAAGTCAAAGAGTGAAGACACTGATTAGGGAATTTAAAAAAGAAATTGCCCCTTAGCTGTCAACGCCTTACAAAATTTTTTTGTATACTTGATCAATTCGTTGTCTAGTCCCTGTGATGAAACAGAAGAAGGCTCGGATTGGCCAAGTAGTTAGGGCGCTCAACTCGCGAGTTCGAATCCCCGCCCCAAAAACATGCTCGCCCTTTCAGCGGTGGGGACGATTTATGTAGCTTTGCGCGAAATTCATAACAAACAAACAAACGAAACAGAATAAAACTAAATCTTGATTACTAAGAGTACGTGTGCTTCCATAATGTTTAGAATAATTCTTGTCTTCAATTTGATTCTAAATTTAAAATGTGTTAGCTAAACACAACATTAATTTTCTATCTGTTACCCCTTTTTTTCATCATCATTTTGTTATTGCTGCTTTTGTTGATATCAGACTCTTTATTGAAGTATAAAATACCCAAAGCTAGTAGGCCCGGCATGGCCAGGTGGTTACGGCTCTCGACTCACAATCTGAGGGTCGCGGGTTCGAATCCCCATCACACCAAACATGGTCGCTCTTTGAACCGTGGGGGCATTATAACGTGATGATCAATCCCACTATTCGTTGGTAAAAGAGTAACCCAAGAGTGGTGATGACTAGCTGTCTTATACTGCTAAATTAGGGACGGTAGCGCAGATATCCCTCGTGTAGCTTTGCGCGAAATTCAAAAACAAACTGCAGTCCACAGCAGAAGGTGCAGTCAATCAAAGAATGCATTAGGCCTCTACGTCGCAGATTCTATTTTCAATTTTACTTTTGGTGAAAAAAAGATATCTGTAAAATAATATAGTATGTCAATAAATGCCAAATGTTTTGTAACGAAATAGAAGTAGTAACTTCATAACCATTGTATCCAACTAAAGACTGTATTACTTACCATCTCTATTTCGTTTGCTGCAAGGCCGTCATGGCCAGTTGGTTAGGGACCTCGACTCACAATCTGCGGGTCGCGGGTTCGAATCCCCGTCCCACCAAACATGCTCGCCCTTTCAGCCGTGGGGCGTTATAATGTGACGGTCAGTCCCACAATTCGTTGGTAAAAAAAGTAGCCCAAGAGTTGGCGGTGGGTGGTAATGACTAGCTGCCTTCCCTCTAGTCTTACACTGCTAAATTAGGGACGGCCAGCGCAGATAGCCCTCGTGTAGCTTTGCGCGAAACACTACAACTAGGTTTCGTAAGATCGCTTAGTAACACTATTTATCAAACGGTTGTATTAGTTTACAATATATCCAATAGTAACACCACTCGCAACACGCCTTGACTGTATTATTGATATATAAAATATAAAATAATGATACCTATTAGAACACACTACAACTAGGTTTCGTAAGATCGCTTAGTAACACTATTTATCAAACGGTTGTATTAGTTTACAATATATCCAATAGTAACACCACTCGCAACACGCCTTGACTGTATTATTGATATATAAAATATAAAATAATGATACCTATTAGAACATATTTAATAATTATTATTTTAACCTAACTATAACACACATTTAATAATTATTATTTTAACCTAACTATAACACACATTTAATAATTATTATTTTAACCTAACTATAGCACACATATATGATAACTATTCCTTCTCTTTGCAGTTTCTTCGACAGAACTTTATATATTTAAAAAAAATTAATGTAAATTAAATATCAAATAATCACATAAATTCTAATCTTAGTCTTCCAACCATATTCGTACGTTTTATGTTCATGAATGTTGTCATTTTTACACTAACATACATCAGCAAGAGAAATTAACAATATAAAAGTGTGCTTGAGCGTCGTTAAGCGAATCGTAAATCTTTGATCTTTTCTTGTGTTAAAAAAATGTCTTCAAATACATCTCATGAAGAATCAATTATAACAGTTGTTTTATTGATTTCTGGGATGTATCTAAATAAGTGTATTTAATGTTCGTCTGAAATGTATATTTATTGCACAGGTTTTTATTATTTCTTTTTTCTTGTTTAGAAGTATCATCAGCTTCGAATAAAGATCTTAGGAGACTGTTACTATTGCATTAGCGGAGCCCCCGAAGAAAGGCCTGACCATGCAGTTCTGTGTGTTCACATGGGTCTAAGCATGGTGGAAGCTATCAAGTACGTTACATTAATCAGGAAACAAAAAAAAAACATTTTTAAACGCATGATATCGTCTGAAATATTTTAAAGTTTGTATAAAAAAAAACAATAAAATGTATAAAAAATGCAAATGTTAAATAATGGTCCATTTTCGTCGAAATTAAAAACGAAACATCCTGATGAGAAACGGCTCATTGAAAAAGAAAACCTGAGACTTTGAATTCTTTTAGACTCTTGTTTATATAATGTAATTCATTTTAGGCTTAATGGTGCAACAAAAAGTCCGGCGGTTTTCCAGTGTTTCAAAAAATAGTATAGTTGACGCATTGGTCTTTGTTGGCAGAAGAACAAGTTGACTTTACTATGTTAATGGAGATTGATGAGAGGGGGCGCTGCTGACATAGAAGTTGAGTTATTCCGAACTGTTAACAGTACAAGCAGTCAATCCGATTTATCCCATAAAACTTAAGACCCGAACGTTCTAGATTTAAATTTTAGATATATCTGTCTTCCATTAGGAATTTTTTTAAAGAACTAAACAGAGGGGTATTCAGAAACTCAATGTGATAAATACAATTAATCTTTTAAACATTTGTTTAAGAGACTTCAGATGTAGCACAAGTTAGCGCAGTTTATCCTGTTTATAGAGCATCCAAATGAAGATGTTAAAGGTGATGTAAAGAGTATAGTAATATGGCGAGCAAAAGCATTACTTTCTTGCCCCCCAGTGGCACAGCGGGATGTCTGCGGACTTACAACGCTAGAATCCGGATTTCGATACCCGTGGTGGGCAGAGCACAGATAGCCCATTGTGTAGCTTTGTGCTTAAATACAAACAAATTACATTATTTTCTTGCCCCCCCCCAGTGGCACAGAGGGATGTCTGCGGACTTACAACGCTAGAATCCGGGTTTCGATACCCGTGGTGGGCAGAGCACAGATAGCCCATTGTGTAGCTTTGTGCTTAAATACAAACAAGTTACATTATTTTTTTCTATTCTTTATTATTAAAACTGTCTGAAATGTTCCATATGGTTAAAAATTAAGGGCAAATGGATAACTAAACACTTTAAAATTTTATCGTTATTTTTACAATATCACAAAAAACTAGAAAGAGACAATTAATATAATAGCAACTCATTTCATCTGCTCATGACGTAATCGTGGGTTTTGGTATTATTATAAATTAATAGGTATTATGTTTCATATAATTTTCAGTAATTAGAAATGACATAACTTTAAAAAAACACAAAGAAAATAAGAATCCTGCTAATTATGAATTATCTTTGCAAATAAGCATTTTTAATTAACAATATATCAAGACCCAGACAATCTCCGTACGTGTAAAATGGAAATTAGATAGGTATGAACGACGAGAGTCAAGAATGTAGTTCGTTGCTATGACGATTCAATCACGTGGGATACGTAACTCTCTCAATCACTAATATGTTATACTATCAGGCAGCCGGGCAAAGTCTAGTTGGTGGCATGCCTGGATTGTGAATCCGACGATTCATGGTGGGTGTCCCGTTGTTGCACAAAAAATAAAATAAAAAAATAAACACACACCCCACATTATTGGGTTGTGGGCGCTCTTTAAGAGAGACTTTTAAATCCATTATTTGATCAGTTTCGTACCAACAGTTGATGGTGGATGTCGTTTATTAGCTGCCTTGTCTTTAGCCTATCAATAGCAAAATAAGGATAGTAGAAATATTCTTTTGGACCTCAATACTTTAAAGGTGTCGTTATGCACTTTAAACCCTGCATAACAAATCATGAAAGTCATGGTGCTCCGTATACATTTTGTTGTTGTTTTTAATATTACAAATAACAGCATGAAACTCATGCAAAGCTCATTGGGTTTCACTCTTGTGGAAAAACAGGTGATTACTTCAATGCCTGTAGCCCCCCACTGGCACAGCGGTATATCTGCGGACTTACAACGCTAGAAACCGGGTTTCAATACCCGTGGTGGATAGAGCACAGTTAGCCCATTGTGTAGCTTTGTGCTTAACTTCAAAGAAATAAACAAACAAACAATCGATACCTTTTTAATAATTATTATACTGACAGATTAGTGCGTCATGACTTTACATGGCTTTTCTTAATGAATGAAGAAACAATAGTAGAATTCCATGAATACACATAAAATATTAAAAAACTTTCTGTATACATTACAAGCGTAGGAAGGAAAAATAGTGATATAATTCAGTTGTTTTGTTTTCAATGTAATATATTTATATGTGTATATTACACATTACAAGCGTAGAAAGTAAAAAATAGTCATATAATTCAGTTGTTTGTTTTTTAATGTAATATATATATATATGTATATATTACACATTACAAGCGTAGAAAGTAAAAAATAGTCATATAATTCAGTTGTTTGTTTCAATGTAATATATTTATATGTATATATATTACACATTACATAGTTATATAATTTAGTTGTTTTGTTTTTTAATGTAATATATATATATGTATATATTACACATTACAAGCGTAGAAAGGAAAAATAGTCATATAATTCAGTTTTGTTTTAATTGTAATATATATATATATATATATATATATATATATATATGTATATATTATACAGTCGGAATGAGAACCCGTGATTTAATCAGTAATGATTGGTTTGTCTTAGAATTTTTGTCCAAAGCTACATATAAGGCTATCTGTGCATAGCCAACCCTAATTTTGGCTGATAGACTAGAATGAAAGCAGCCAGTGAACAGCCTACCATTAACAATTCTTGAGCTAATCTTACCTGAACGAATAATGAGATTTGACCTATGTGCTTATAGTTCATCTAAAGTGCGGAATGAATTTTTGTGACAATGGGACGCGAACCACGGACGGCCGGATTAGCATATCTGAAAGTCAAATCCAGTCTTTGATATGTAAAGAATCGACAATGGAACATAAATCCACCTTTTGTTGGAGTTAACTACGCATTCCCCCAACTTAATTAAGTAGACGACAGTAAGAAAGATATCGAGTCGTGTAACTCAGCTACAAGTGAAAGTTCATAGACCTCTATGTATACAAAATACGCCCAATAACGATTAATGGCTAAAGAAACTTTTCTAATAACTAAGTTTGTTTGTTATGGATTTCGCGCAAAGCTACACGAGGGCTATCTGCGCTAGCCGTCCCTAATTTAGCAGTGTAAGACTATAGGAAAGGCAGCTAGTGATCACCACCCACCGCCAACTCTTAGGCTACTCTTTTACCAACGAATAGTGGGATTGACCGTCACATAATAACGCCCCCACGGCTGAAAGGGCGAGCATGTTTGGTGGGACGGGGATTCGAACCCGAGAGCCACAGATTGCGAGTCGAGCACCCTAACCACCTGGCCATGCCGGGGCCTTCTAATAACTATGATATCATGCACGACATTTCAAATCAACGTCTTTGAAAAATGAAAAGGAACTAAAAACTGTTTAAATAGCTGTTTAATGTTTATTTGCTGTATCTCAGCAGAATTTGACTCGGAGCAGAGCTTGTACGATCGAAGTTTTTGTGATAAATGCAGTATGAAAATTTAGATGAGGATCTCTATCGTCTAATAACATTCTGGGATGTAAATGGAACTGAACGTTGTTGTTTGTAGTTAAACACAAAGCTAAACAATGGGCTATCTATGCTGTGTCAACCACGGGTATCGAAACCCTGTTTCTAACGCTTTAAGCCTCCAGACTTACAGATGAGAGGTGAACTGAATGTTATCGTCACATTCGTCAATACATATAAAATTATATTGCATTGTTTATTCAGTTATTTTTGTTCTGATCTATGTAGTTGGTTTTAATTACGTCTTCTCTACTTGTCTTGCTAAAATATTAAAGATTAGATTTTTTTCAGTTTTCATTACACTGCCTCGTGAGATAAGCTGATCCATCCCTAACTTGAAAGAATTTTGTGTGTGTTTTGGTTACCAGTTTGGAAAATTTTTATGCAGATTTAATTAATAAAGTATACATACTTTAAGCCGTATCTTAAGTGGTGTACTTGTAGACCGGTATCAACTTTATTTAACTAACGTCACTTCAACTAAGAGTGCTGATTTACAAAATAAGTTTTAGTTTTATTTCTCCCAGAAACGACGAGAAACCAGTTGTGCTTGTTCACTCTATTGTTCATATTGAGTATTAAAACTTGTAATTATCGATTGGGGAATCGTTCGAGATTCCTTTAACGAAGCTGTGCACCGGAATAGATTATCATCCATACAATGTTCGGGGGTCTCCTTGAGTGTTCTTTCTTTAGTGAACATTAAATTACCGATATTAAAACAAGTCAGTAAATTTCTTATTTTGCGTACCAACATGATTTTTGTTTTCAATTGATAATTACCACTTTTTTAATATTCTAATTATGTGCATGCTAAAAAAAAAACTGTTTATATATGTTTGTTTAGCGCCTGGCTACATAATTCTGTCTACGCTGTGTCCACTTGGGGGATCGACATCTGAATTTAGGGGTTATAAATTCTCATCCTTACCGGCCCGGCATGGCCAGGTGATTAGGGCGCTCGACTCGCAATCTGAGGGTCGCAGGTTCGAATCCCCGTTCCACCAAACATGCCCTTTCAGCCGTGGGGGCGTTATAATGTTTCGAACAATCCCACTATTCGTTGATAAAAGAGTAGCTCAAGAGTTGGTTTTGGGTAATGTTGACTAGCTGCCTTTTCTCTTTACTATCACTCCTAAATTAGGGACAGCTAACGCAGATAGCCCTCATGTAGCTTTCCCCAAGGTTCAAAACAAAATCTAAATATGACCAATTATAATACTTTAATAGTTCAGAACTATACTGAACAAATAGCTGCACCATATCAAACAATGAAATTTACACGAATGAATTATGTATCTCTCGTAGAGTTCGAACATTTAACCTCCAAACTGGAAAGTTATAATTGTATGTTGTTGTTTATAATTTTTGCTAGAATATAAAACAAAATTATATGTTCTGATCTTGCCATATTTTGATACTTTCTGAGAAAGTAG